AATTTTTTTCTATATATTTTTATTAATATTTGTAATTATATTTACTTTTAGCCTATAGGCAACGGTTTGGTTAGCATTGTTGTGCCCGCTTTGGGACGCGGTGAGAACAGTTTACTGTTATGGAGTAATAACAAACAAACGGATCCTGTCTGCTCTTTTGTTGGGCATACCGATGTAATATTAGATTTTGAATGGCGTCCGAATCGTGAAAACATATCGGAGATTGTAAGTCACAGTTTTGTTAAATGTAAAAATATATTAATTACTAAAATTAGGAACTAGTTACATGGTCACGTGACCGTAGTTTACGCGTGTGGAAAATTGATGATTTGATGCTGAAACTCTGCGAACCCGATTTCGATAGCAACGAAGTGTGCGATACACCTGATTCTTTTGCCGACACTCCAACTAAATTTCAACCGATACACTCATCATCTTTGTACCAGCCCACTTTGAGTTTGACGCGTGCTGGTGCCGCTTCATTGCCTTCAGAAAGCTCTGACAGTCTAACAATACCGACTTTATCGCGCTCGCCTCCACCGCCAATGCGTAAAGAGGAGACACACATAGCACGTTCACTTACAGATCAGCCGACATGCTCGCTGCATCATGAGTTCTCGCTACTAAATCGAAATATGCCACATGTAGAGGTCGACCTATTAGATGCGATTAAACGTTTTGCAGTCTTCAAGATCTCGGCTGGTGGACACGTGGTGGTGTTGCAGGTTAGTCACTTCTTGGTAAACTTTAAAGACATTTACATAGTTTTTGTTTTTATTAAACTCTTGCGACATGTATAGTCTGTAATAATAGTATTTTTTACTTAACGGTTGTTTGTATTACTTAAAACTAAACGATATAGGGTTTTATATCATTATCGAGATAAGCTTGGCCAATGGAAAAGTTTTCTATACAGGGACTTGTTTTTGATCGTCCATTTTATATAAGAACTATATGCTATATTATTCCGATCTAAACAATTTATAAAGGCATCATTGACCCCATAAAATGTAAACAAAAGGTTCATTAACCCCGAAATGTAAACAAGGGGTCCCCATAAAATGTGAATAAAAGGATCATTGCCCCAAATGTGAAAAGAAGGTTGTTGACTTGGCTAAATGTAAACAAAAGGTTTATTGACCTCTGAAAAACATAAACAAAAGGGTCATTGACTCCAAAACTGCAAATCAAAGGGTCATTAATCCCAAATGTAAAAAAAAAACTTATTTTGACTTGGCTAATGTAAACAAAAGAGTCATTGACCCCATAATATGAACAAAGACTTCATAGAATGTATTGATTTGGGTAAATGTAAAACAGGGTTGTGGAATTGATTAAATGTAAACAAGGAGGTCATTGAAATTTTAAAAATTAAACGAAGGGGTCATTGAGCTCGGAAAAACGTGAAAAAGGGGTCAATGACCTCAGAATGTAAACAAAGAAGTCACGGTCTGACCCTTGCAAGTTGCAAGAGCATAAAATATTCCATTACATCAACTTAGCTTTTCCCTACTTTTTTTATTTTCTTTTTTACAGACAGTTTTTCCTACCGAGTATCCAAGTCCGAATATTGGACCCGAGTTCTCCTTTTGCGAGGGCACCACACTGCATGAACAACTGTCTGCCGTGCTGCTGAAGACACTCAGAACGAACGCGTTGCAACGCGTTAAAAAATCGCGTACCTGTGTCGAGCAATGCCTGCGCGCATTGGTGGGTGCTATGAAAAAGGTTAGTATAGTCGACCCAGCGCTGTATTTTTTAAATACTAAAAAAAAAAAACTTATTGCATTTATTCTATCGTATTTTTGCGAAAACAGTCGGTGGGCGGCGTCACCGACAAATCACAGCTACGCCTACAGTCGCCACGCTTGGAGGGCGCACTAAGTGGTGCGCTACACGACGCCTGCATACCATATCCACGCACGTCGGGTGTAAATTTCAACACTACCGGCCTGTTGGTCACATTCGCGCAAGCGCCGAATGCTAAACGCCTAACATTGCGTCATCAGAATACAACACCGCGCACATTTTCCGCCATTAGCGGTGGCGTACTCTTGGGTAATGTCTTTAATACGCATCGCGATTCAAATGCCTCCTTTTACCTGCAAGATCGCATGAGTGCGAAACATACGAAAAATCGTTCGATGCAAAAGCAAACCAATGCCACGCCCATCGTACATATTTATGAAGCCTCCAAGCTGCTGAATATCAGCTGTGAAATGGCCAAAGAATTCTCACTGGACAAGCGCAATTTGCGCGCCACTTGCCGTCGCAATCGCCAAGTATGCGAAACATATGGTCGTTACGACTTGGTGCCGATATGGACGCTCGCCGAACTGATCGCCAAACCAAACATACCGAATGAAACCAAATACGAGACACTCTTCTACAAAGACCCCTTTAAGAAATTTCTACTCGAGGCATTGATTATGCATTTTGCCAGCGCTGGCGATTTGCAGACGGCTGTCATGTTGGCGTGTCTCTTTCACAAATGCTCCTCAACAGCCGGCGATTTAGGCGATTTAATGTTGACTACAACGCAATGCTACCAGCACACCAATAAACTACAACAATTAAATAATACTTCGCCGTACCACACAGTGTTGCCCATCGACTATCATGCCTCACATCCGAAATCGAACTCGGCGCTCGCGGTCAATGTGCATTTGAAGCAATTGCGCAGTAATTCTTGGTCAGACTCGTTGGACTGGGTGGACTCGAAAAATTGCAACTCCGACTCGTATTCATGTTCGCTGATAAGACGTACGAAAATGCCGTTATTCGACCACTTCAAGAAGGTGTATGCGGACATATTGTTCGGTTGGCAACTGCTGACCAAACGCTCGCTGGTAATTCAACAGTTACTAGTTTTTATATACTTTTTTTCATCCATTACTTCTGCAGATACTAAAGCATACAATGTTCTCACAAAGCCAGCCACATGGTGTTGAATTCGTCACTGAGTGCACCGGTTGCAATAAAATGAAGCGCACCCCCTCATGCATCAGCTGCAAGCGTCCAGTGCTCTTCTGCCAGCTCTGCAATTTGCCTGTGAAGGGCGCGGCTAATGCGTGCTTGGCTTGCGGTCATGGCGGCCATATGGTGCATATGATGCAGTGGTTCAAGGTGAGTTGCCGGCAGCTGGACTGGATGTGGCTTATCTTAAATGTAAGTTTTTTCTTTATTTCTTTTTCTTTCTTTCTACATTCTGCAGAAACATAGCATTTGTGCCTCTGGTTGCGGTTGTAATTGTTTGAAGCAGACTGCTGCTCTGCTGGCGCTTATGAATTGATAGTCTACCTTGAGACTCTTTTTATGTTATGTGACATTTTTATATTAGTGACCTAAAATGCCTTAAATTGTTGTGGCAAACATAATCTTGACCTCGATACGCGCATGTTTTAAATATGCTGTATCTATTTTTTGCTTACTTATATGCACATAACTATAATATGGACAAGAAAAATTTTAATTTTTTATTAATTAACCTAACCTAATCTAAAAATCGAAATAAATGCGAGACTACGCCATTTTTTACTTAGCGTCAAATATATTTGTTCAATAATTATATCCCTATACAATATAACTCATATCTTAATAAATAGTTAAAATACATTTAATTTGTACAACAGTAGTTAGATAATAGATAAAATTTGGCCACAGTTAGTTTTGACTTAGTAGACTTAAAAAATGTGACAATATGGTTTCGAAAAGCATTAAAAAAATTTTAATCACAAAAATTTTAGACATATGAACATACATGATTGAAAACGAAGAATGTACCGCGACCTTAGGTCCATTGTGCCCTCAACATAGACCTACATAGACACACCTAGCCCCACCATATCGATAAAATCCAATATTCTGCTAGGTGCTAGCGAATCAATGTGATCCCTATTTGGAAACATGGATCCAAGGGCCTTACATACATACAAATTTTGAATTTTTCAAGAGATTAACCCTGGATCTAGAGATCTGTTGGAATTTTCGATTGTCTCGTAGATTTTTATGGAATCTTTTTGGAATCAATTTAAGTTGCTTTAAATCATTATAAATAGTATATACATATATGGACAAGATATTTCATAATTGCTGCTAAAACAGTCAATTAACCGGAAAATTCCCAAGGCTTTCGAGAAAACATGAATTATCTGTATGTAGAGAGGTACCATAATGACAGACGAAGGGAGCATACCACTCATGCTGTTGTAGTGACAGAAAGTAATTTAGAGGTATGACAGCTCTGGAGCGGATAAAAATTCGGGTCTGACCGGCTACTTAAATCCGACCATCGTGGGAACCGTTTTTGTTGTTGTTGTTATTTTTGTAACGATAGAAAATATTGCTGAAGTAATTTCGAGGCATGGTGCCGAATTGACAGTTCGGAACCCGATAGAAAGTATTCCTGCAGTAATTTCGAGGTATAGTGCCGACTTGATATTTCTGGACCGCATAAAGATCCGGGTCTGTTTAGGTTACTTAGATCCGTGCTTTTGTTATTTAGTAGCGACAGAAAACATGCTGAAGTAATTTCGAGATATGGTGCCAAGTTCCAAGGTCCGTGAGAATGGATCCGCTTGTGCTGAAGTGCGATACTTACTGTTTTTGTTCGTAATAGTTCGTTATGGAATTCGGCATTCCATTTCATTTCGAAGTTATCTCCATGGTTGGTCGGTTTCAAATATTTTCGGAAAAAGCGTATAAAAGGAAAAAAAAGCTAATCAAAAATACTTTTGTGCATCACGTACAAGGATTTTCTGAAAAATCATCCGACCCGATATGTCTCGTGTCGCTCCTGAGAACGCCCCCCATAAAGATATGCAACAAAAAATAGTCCTCGTGTGAGCGCAGTATAATCGAACAAAACAAAATTTATACTCTCCGAGTCATAAGATTCCATATAGCGACGTCATAAGAAATCAGATAGTCTTCATTTCTTCAATAAAGCTTGTAGGCGTTAATGCGCATTATATACACATTCATACATACATAGAGCCATGTATAGACACATGTATATTGTAAGTTCTTAAGCAAATGGCGCACTAGTCAACATATTTGTAGACGCTTCGTTCTCTTCGTCGCTGGCATTTTGATCGAGCTTCTCAAAGCCACCACGCTTGCCACGATCCAACAGGAGGCCGCCCAATTTGAAACCTTCGGGCTTTGAGGGGAAATCCCATGCATGACGACGATTCTTCACGCCAAATGGCAAACAACCTACAAGTAGAGGCAACAATTAAACGAAAACGGAGTTGACAGCTAACACGAGCAGCGAAATGAATCGCAAATACAACAAATATACAACGTAACAAGCACTTTAGTTACAATATGCATTTGTATTCAATAAAAAATCAAAAAAAA